TGTCGCGAGGAGCAAGAGTTCGGAGAACCACGTCTTGGTGGGCCAGTAGGGGGCTACCAGCAAGACCTGCTCCTCGTCCTCCTTGATCTTGCACAACACCCGTGCAAGGAGGCTCACTGGGGGAACGCACACTTGCGTGGGCCCCGTGGCCAGCTGTGCGCCAGCGCATCCGAGCCGAGAGAGCCGCGGGTCAGAGAATAACTGGGCGCAGTGGGACGAGTCCCGAGAGGCGAACAGGTCTAACTGTGCCTCCCCGAACTGGTCCCAAATCAGCTGGACCGACTGGGGATGGAGTCGCCATTCGCCGGAGATGGGACGGGCCCGGGACAGCTCGCGGCTGCCCGATTCCGGTCTCCAGGAATGTAACTGCACGAAGGGACCTCAGGTGCTTCTGACTCCATATCAAGAGGTGGCGGGCGAGCTGCGACAACCGGCGCGAGCGTAGACCCCCCCTGGTGGTTGATGTACGCTACTGCCGTAGTGTTGTCTGAGCGGACAAGCACATGCTGGCCCTAGAGCACGCTCGGAAGCGGTGCCGGGCGAGCCGTACTGCCAACAGCTCGAGGCAATTGATGTGCATGAGGCGCTGGGCTCCTGTCCAGGAACCGGCGGCTGCATGCCCATTGCACATGGCACCCCAACCCGTGGTAGACGCATCCGTGGAGACAACGAGATGCCTGGAAACTCGCTGAATAGGGACCCTGTCCGTAAAAAGCTGAGGTTCGACCACGGGAAGAAGGATCGGCGGCACGTCGGAGTCACTGGAACTCGGAGCGAGCCGCGATGCCATGCCCACCTCGGGACTCGATCGCGAAGCCACAGCTGAAGCGGTCTCATATGAAGCAAACCGAGCGGCGTTGCCGCGGCCGCGGATGCCATATGCCCCAGGAGCCTCTGAAAAGTTTCAGTGGAACCGCACTCTTGCCCTCGAACTGTCGAAGACAAGCCAGCAGTGAGTGCGCGCGCTCGTTCGTGAGCTGCGCGGACATGGCGACCGAGTCTATCTCCATGCCGAGAAAAGAGATCCTCTGCACGGGGCAAAGTTTGCTCTTTTCCCGGTTGACCCGAAGGCCCAGACGGGCTAGGTGCCGTAGCACCAGGTCTCTGTGTTCGCAAACCTGAGCTCGAGAGTGTGCTAGTAACAGCCAGTCGTCGAGATAGTTCAGGATGCGAACCCCGTGTTCGCGAAGGGGAACAAGGGCTGCCTCGACGATCTTCGTGAAGACGCGAGGGGACAGAGCTAACCCGAATGGGAGAACGGCGTACTGGTATGCCTGGCCCTCGAAGGCAAACCGAAGAAACGGTCTGTGTCGAGGGAGAATGGAGACATGGAAGTACGCGTCCTTCAGGTCGATCGCTGCAAACCAATCCTGATACCGAACACATTCGAAAATGCGTTTGGCCGTGAGCATTTTGAACGGTAGTCGATGGAGAGAACGGTTCAAAATGCGCAGGTCCAGGATCGGTCGTAACCCACCGGTCTTTCTTGGGGACAATGAAGTAGGGGCTGTAAAGCCCGGACCTCACCTCGGCTGGAGGGACCGTCTCGATTGCACCCTTCGCCAGCAGGGTCGCAATCTCCGCTCTCAAGACTGGGGCATTGCCACCAACCATCGTGGAGCGAACTCCCCTGAAGCGGGGAAGAGACCGTGCGAACTGAATCGCGTAGCCGAATCCGATCGTTCTGATGACCCAGCGGGAACCCCGGGAAGCGCTAGCCAGGCTTCCAGGAAGTGAGCCAACGGGGTCATGCGAACCACAGACGTCCCCCCGGAGGGGCAGCGAGGCGGGTCGACCGGCATGCGTGCAGGAGTTACCCCGTCCGGATGCACCGTCGAAACCCGCTCCCCGACAGAAGAGACCAGGGAAGGCAGAGCGTTCCACGGGGGTCTGTTCTGCCGGGGGTCTGGCGACAGAGGGGGAAGGGATTGGCGTAGCCCGGGGACGACACACGCACCCTTCCGCGCCCTCCGAGACAGAGAGGAATGAACGGGGCGACGCACTGGACGTCGTGCGCGCTCATTCCAGTCTGTGTGCTCAATGACAGTGTCAGCTTTTCCTCAACCAGCTCAGGGAGCTAGCTAGAACAAAAGATTCTCCACCGGCCCTCCACCGGGGAAGGAGGGGCCCTGCCACCGCCTCCTGAGAAAAACCATGACACTATCACTGAGCGGCCCGCCTCAGGAACATCGCTTCGCCTGGCATCTAGCGGGGCACGCGGCCTGAGGGGGGGCTCTTTTCTTGGGACGCTTACCTGTGGCCTCCTCCGCGACGCGAACCGGCTGAAGGCTGCTGCTGGGGCCGCGTGGGAGGGAAGGGAGCCGCAGGGGGGCGTCCTCGGCGGCGAGCTGGCGGAGGCGTCCGAGCCGACGGCTGGTTGGAGGCAGCAGCTGGCCGTCGGGGCAGAGAAACCGCCTTCGTCTGCTCCTAGGCGGTCGAGAAGTGCTGGGCAAAGTCCTGGACCGCACCGCCGAACATTATGATGCTCCTGGACCACAGCGGTGGGCATCACCTGACCAAGGGAGCGAGCGACCGCCTCCGTGACCCGTTTAAGGACAAGGTAGGCGACAGGCTCGCAGCTCGCTTGGTCCGTCACCTCCTCGTGCACATTCCTGAGCAGCTAGCTTTGTAGGTGCTCATCATATGCAGGGCGGAGGCTGCCTGTCCCGCCGCTCTACAGAATCGCGCCGCCATAGACGACGAGAACCCATAGGCTTTGGAGGGGCATCTGAGAGCAACCGCCGGTTGACCGGGGGAGCCCCAGCGTACCCACAGACAGCCGCATCGCCGAGGGGAGGAAGGGCGGGGAACTAAGCACGCTTTTTTTTTTTTTTTTTTTTATTTATTTATTTTTTAGTGCGTGTCAGTTCCGCATGCAACTCGGGGAAAAAAGGAAATTGGGGTTGGCCGTGGCCGTAAGGCGGCAGCGTTACCCAAAAACCAATTATTCAGCCGCGAGAGATCGGGGAGGGGCGGAGTTCCACCCCCACCCGATGCTCACGGACGCCCGAGATAGCACGGCCATCATCGCGGGATCAGACACGGCGGCGCTGACGCTCCCGAGGGAGGCAACGCGGCCGCATCCTCACTTCCCGAGGAGTCAAGCCCGCCTAGTGATGCTGTGATCGACATCGCATCATCATCTGGAGCGCTGCCCGAAGCAGCCGGTGCCACCGAAGAAGCAACCGACTGAATCGAACTAACGCTCGCTGGCTCTCGCACTGAGGCGGGAGGTGTGGCCCGAGGAATCGTCGGGGCTTATCCCACACCATCACCGTAAATCACCAGGTCCCCGGGTCGACGGGCCCCCTATGGAGGAAACCGATCGAGCGGGGGGGACCGGGACTCTCACTCAAGTGAGATCATTGAGTCTCGACCTCAGTGTAGAGATGGTCATGTTCCCACAGAAGGAAAATGAGTCATCCACGAACGCTGCTGCTGCATGCTGAAATGCCCAGGCATACAAAGCAGCGATCGTGACCATCAGATGACGACAGAAATCAATCACACCCAGAAGAGCACGGGCGAACCGTCTTTAAAAAGACGTGCGCGTGCAGCTCTTTCAATGAGAGGAGGAAATTCACTCTTTCAGCGCTGAAGCGACCAGGGAGAAGCGCAAAGTCTGGCAGACCACTGCTCAGATCGCAGGCGATGCAGAATCTCGCTGGGTACCGCCGTCACACCAACACTGAAGAGGACGCTCGTCTCGAAGAGTCTTGAACAGTGCTTTCAGGAGTGAAGAGGTTCTCTTGGCTCCGAAGCGAAAACATACTGCGGTTGCGTTCACTTCCTCCTTTTATACTCACGGAGTAGGGCGGAGTACGCTATGCAAATTTCCGCAGCCCCAAGGCATTGCATGCCATTGGCTCGTGTTTTAATACTCGAAGAGGATTGGCTTTCTATGCGAAACCCCCAATCTCCGTCACTTCTGACGTAACTCGAAGTGACTACGATAGGGAACACAAAAATGTTGGCAAGCTATTCTATGACACCAGTGTCAAGCTGACTTGTACTGTGTACTGTGACTGCATATTTTAAAAGTTTGGTGTTTTGGTTTTATGGTGTTTCCATTATAGGTACTTTAATGTTCAAGTGTTTTTCCTTTGTATTTTTGAGCCTTTGTACAAAGATTGGCATAAAATTGTTTTGTTGTGCATACTCCGTTTAACATAAATATACATTTAAGACTACTCTTACATTAGAGGCACAGTTCACCTCAAAATTTAAATCTTTTTCCTTCATGTCATTCCAAATTTGTATGCTTTTTTTCTTCTTCTGTAGAACAAAAAAGGAGATATTTTGAAAAATGTCTCCAGTGTTTTTCATTTGTTTGTTTTGTAAGTCAGTGGGCAGTAAGTTTTTTTGGACCCCAGCATTTTTGAAAATATCTTCTTTTGTGTTCCTTAAAGGTCTGGAATGACAGGATGACATTATTTTCAGTTTGCGTGAGCTGTCTCTTTAAATAAAAATCTTGAAGAGCTTAAAAAAAAGTCCATATTTGTAATTTCAAAACAGGATATATATAATATGGAAATAACATGAAATCAAGTGAATCTAAGATTACTATGTAAATATGCTCTCTCTCACCCTTACGCATACATACTGTAGTGTACAGCATCCCTCCCCCACCATCATAACACACCCAGCCATTATTTCTGACCTTTTTTTTAAAAAATCTCTTTCTCCTTCCTCAACCCTATTTTATTCCTGGTCCATTTAGGCCTTCATCTAAACTCTATTAGGATTACCCAGCATCTTTCCTAGCAAAAGTCTTCCTGTCCAGATTAATTGATGATAAATCTTCCCAACAGACACTGCCTCAAGTGACTTAATCCTTCTTTACAATGATTGGACTCCTTTTTACATTACACCGGTGTCTCAGACAGGCATCTTGCTGCTAGAGACTGGTTCAAAGTCTAGCTTTAGTTTAGAGGCATTTATCATGTCAATGACAAAGAGTGTAGGGCAAAATGACGTAACAAATCCTTCTGATTCTGAAGGGAAAACAAGAGGAGCCTTTTTGCTGCCGAAAGGAGCTCGGAATATATATCTGAATGAAACAGAGGATTCTAGAAATGTGATGGGTGAGTGGTAGCATGCTTTGCAGAGGAATGGGCATTCGTAGAGAAGGCAACATTAGTCTTTTTGTGTTCTTGTGTGATGTATTGCAAACTGACTCAAGGCTCTGCCATTCAGCATCCTTCTTAATTAGGCTTACATAACAATTGTTCATGGTTTTCAGTTTTGTTTCGCCTGACAATGTTTTTTGAGCTTCTGAAGGATATGTCATACATTCACGTGGATGAATGTATGAATGAATGGAATTGGAACCTTCTGTCACGTATTGATATTTTCCTTATAGGCTTCTCGTAACCCTCGTAGATTGCAATAGTCTGACTGTTCAAATCTGAAAGCTTTAGTGATGTACTACTGTAGAAATGCCTTAGTGATGAGATGCCCCCCTCTGCAAAGATCAAACCATAGTACAACTTCTTAGCTAACTAATTGCTTCTGCTGTCTCTTCTTCCTTTGCCTTTTTTTCATCGTTGCAAAGGTTACCTAAAGATGTTTCTCATTCCTCCTGGGGCTAGACATGTGATCATACAAGAACATGAGGCTTCTCCTCAAATTCTTGGTAAGTGAAACCTGTCCTCATGTTTCCCAGGATAAACAACAAAAAGATGCATGCTCATGTAATCTGTGCGTGGTACAGGTAGCTGTGCTTAATGGATCCATGTCACTCTAATACTTATCCATCGGATCAATGTATTTTTATAAAGCAGCATACATGTGCATTTTCCTGGAAATGCATTAAACAGAATTATATTCACATATTTTAAAGACAATCACTGTCCACCACAATTTGTATGTGGCATTGTGGACCATAGTCCTAAAACCTGAAAGGGAATGAGCAATTTCAAGCCATGGTTTCCTTCTGGAATTTACAGAGGGTTTTTAAAATAGCAGTTTTTAAATTACAAGTATGATCATTTTTCATGTTTTGTTACACAGCATGTAGGAGCTCAAACATTAAATTTAAAAGCATTTTGTTGTTTTAATGCAGAAGTTATACTTCAACTGCCCATAGTGTGCTTGTCAGACAACTTGTAGCAAACTTTTTAAAGCATTTGAGAGTGTATGTAACTACATCAATGTTGTAGAACAACACACAAACCTTCCTGTAGCTACAATAGAGAATGGCACTAGCAACAGCCAGGGCAAGTATTAACTACTAAAATGTGTGCCTTGAATGCAATGCAAGCTTCTTTGGACAAACACATCTGCCATATTGAATGTGTCAAAGGAGTAGTTCACCCATAAATTACAATTTCTTGATTATTTACTTTGGCCCATCAAAGATATAGATACAATTCTTTCTTCAGCTGAAGAGAAACTGGGCTCATTTCAGTCCATCAATCAGTCCATTTTTGATGGTCCAAAATCCATATTTAGGCAGCTTCAAAGTAATCCACACGATCCTAGACAAAAAAATGATCAGTCATTTTCTGAAATAATAAAATAATACAATACTTAAACACAAATATTCACCTTGGTCCTGCTCTGCAATGCGCTTCCATGTGTTCACAATTTCTCATGTGACGTGCACATTGGGAAGATCATGCCTGATGTAGGCTGCAAGAATCGCACCATTGTTTAAAAGAAGAATGTGCAAAAATTACGTCAAGCGCCTTTCACACTGTAAAAAACACCCCCGAACAAATATTTTTCACAATTAATCTTTCAGCTTTCACGAGATTGAGGTGTTCAGGATACACACACGAACAAATGCATTTATGCAAAAATAAAATAAAATGTTAACTAATTTAAATAAGAATAAATGATCCTGGAATGTTTTCCTCAAATTATTCACTTCATTTTTCTTCGGCTTAAGAAAGAAAGTCATAAACTAAACTGCTATTCTAAAAACACATTAAAATCCCAAGCCACCCATGGAGAATTTGCTTTCCGGCATAACCTGCTAATTGGCATCGTCACTTAACAGTTATGTTTGCCATAAAAATGTGAGCAATAAGGCATTGCATTTTTATGCTTTGTGAATTAAAGCTAGTTTTGAATATCAGTGTTCTTTTTTTAATTTATTTATTTATTTTTTGTCTCTGAACTGTAACAGTACCGGATGCCTCTTTTAACTGTACACAGAGTTAAAAGAGGGAAAGACAAAACGATTTATTGGCCCTTTTTATTCATTCTAGTCATTTTGAGAAGCTCATACAGACAGGAATTATCACATTGTAATGCACATAATTGATTTAATTTTAATTAATTGAATTGAAGTCGCTTTTATTCTAAGAATATTCCCCTTCATGAAAGTACTTCTTGAAAGTACTTTATGACTTTAAATATTACCCCTTGGTAGTTGAACTTTTAATTAAACCTAACCTTATTTTAATTACCTAGATACAGTAAGTAGTCCAATACCTATCTTTACTGCCCCAGTTAACCTTCAAAGAAGTCTTTATAAAGCCAAATTTTCTGTTTCAATAATATATAAAACTAGCTAATTAATAGAAATTTCGCTTATCTATATATTTAACTCAACTGATTACAATATTTCAATTTCTTTGCATGCCAAAATGCTAAAGCTTAGCAATTTCTATCAAACAGAAGACTTGGATTACAGGAAGATTCCAGAAATCTTTGTTCACCAGTCTGTTAAATTAACAAATCAGAGGTAGCTGACTAAGCATAGGCCTCAGGATTCTGAGAAAAAAAAAAAAAAAAGAATTTGCTAAACTGATGCACTGCAGCCAGTTATGTATTACACATATGATATACATGTATACATGTGCTATAAGTACTAACCAACAATAAAGTAAACTGAAAAGAAAATTATAATAAAAAATGTATACATGTATGGTGGCTTACATGACCCATTTCTTTCTCCAATTTTTAGGTTTGTGATTAAGATAAAAGCATTTATTTGCATTATAATTGAATATATCAGTAAACATTTAATTAAGTATTGTATAATATGTGAGTTCCCATCAGTAGCATCCTTGCTTGCTCTGAATAGTTGTATGATTAACACCTTTAGCATTTATTCTGAATACCAATTCAGTCTATTTTTCAGTCATCAAATGTCCTGGGAAAATAAACCTTTCTTATTTTAAGGCATGATTCACACAAAACAAACAAAAAAATAAAACGTTTTTTTTTGGGGGGAGGGGGTGAAAATCACAGGTGGAAAAACATAATTTCCAAGCTGAATTGTGACCATGCTTTTCAGATTTTGTAAATAACTTTAATGTCAATGTATTATTCACACAAATCTCTGAGATGGCTTGTAATATAGCTCTCCAGTTTATGAACTGAGCTTACAGCTACTGATGGAGCAAAACCTTTTTTAATTCCACAGAAGAAATGTTCATGCTTCGGGGAATTATAAAAGAATTGTTTTATAATTGAATTATAAATAATTAATAATAGAATAATTATACCCTTTTAAAGTTAACATTTTCTGAATATTCATCCTTTTTTTCCTCTGGCAAAAATAAACACAATTTTATTATACAAGGTCAGTTTTGATTTCATTGTATCAAACCTTTTTTCACAAGTGACATTTGATGACTGGTAACAATGCTAATTTTCCTGACGTGTACATCAAAACGTCTGTTTTGATGGCTGATGAGATCATTTAAATAAACATATTTTTTCAGTTTGAATCAGTTTTTCTGTTAACCTCTTATCTCTGAGTTGTAATTTATCTCTGAATGCAGCTATCAAGAACCAAGCAACAGGACATTACATTCTCAATGGCAAAGGAGAAGTTGCAAGATCTCGGCGCTTCATTGAAATAGGAGTGGAGTGGGACTACCTCATCGAGGATGATGTCGAGACTCTCTACACTGATGGTCCACTACATGATGCAATTGTTGTTCTGGTAAAACTTTCCATAATCTAATTTAAAGCTTATTGTGATATGATTACTGCACACATTATGATTTACCTAAATAACAAAACATTTTACGTTTTTATTTTCTTAGAATGGCTTAATTTGAAGTGCTGTAAAAAGAAAATTTGAAGTTTCTTTTATTAAGGTCTTTTATATGTTGCAATAAAACATACAACAGTGGGATTTTTTTAGATAAAAAATTCCCTTTTTTTTTCCATAATACAAATGCATTGGCAGTATGACAAGCTAATTTAACTTTTATTCATTTCCAGGATACTGTAGTGCTGCACAATTAATTATATCACAATCGTGATGTCAAGCCTATGCAATTATATGAAGCAAATGCTGTGATTTTTACATCACAGCAAAATGCTTTTGATTTTACAATTAATGCAGCATCTGTTATTTATTTATTTTATTTTTCATCCTTTGGCTAGTGTTCCATGATCCTGCTCTTATTCGTGCAAATTCTTTAAACCATTCATGCGCGAGTAGTCAAAAGAGAGCGCGCTGCATGAAAATTTTTCTTACTGGACGCGTGCCAGTAGGCTATCATGTGCAGACCGCACGCAAGAATACAGTTCTCTGAACGAACAATAACACACCCAATTGCCAAAATGTTGTTTGTCGAGTATCTTCATAACATAAGAGCAGTCTCTTACAATGCTAATAACAATGCTAATTCTTGATATCCACAATAGCGTAACTCCGCCACCTTGTTAGTATATAAGGAGGACGCTGGCCACAATGCAGACATGTTTCTTTGATATGACAGATATGTTTCCATTTACACCTGGCCACATAAATGTGTTTTTGCAAAACGGATATAAATCCGATCTTAAACTCCCGCGTATGCAGATTTAATGGATTGCACGCCACCAAAAGCAACAGATCTGAGCGGCATTTCGTTGATCATCAGCTAATTTCCAAATCAAAGACATCAATAAAAGAGTGGCAACAGCGCTGGTAAGATAATTTCGTTTCTTTACTTGAAGATGATTGTGTGTTAAGCGTCTGTGACTTACTTTCACTTTTATTTGCGATGTTTGCACGTTGGCTCGATGAATAGACGCTCAGCTGCTCATCTGCGGTGATGCGTGTCGCAGTAGCGCCGTCATATCTGACTATAACATGACATATAGCCTATATAACAAGCTCACTCATTTATTTTTTGCCTTTTTTGGAGGAGTAAAATATACATATGTGGTTTTAACAACCAGATTGCGTTTACACCTAGTAAAGATCCGGACACAATGCGAGCCAGACTACCTCCAGATGTGGTCAGGCAGATCCGATCGCGATCCGATCACAACGCATTTACACCTTGCATTAACATGCGTTTTTTATTATCCGGATAACTTATCTGGATACAGATCGCATTTTAATACCAGGTGTAAATGGGGTCTTAGAGAATACACATATGATCTGAATGATGCATATGGGGAATCACTGGGGTTTCCAGCCACAGGTGGAATATTTCAACCCCAGGGGTGGCAAGGTGGCTTGCCGAGGGAAAGACAAATGCTCAGAGAGGCTCAAAGAGGCTTACAGTGGAAATACACATGCAGGGCATCGCTCAGGGGAGGGACCACACGGGAGGCACCTAGCCGACGCGCAGGTAATAGACACTGGCACCAATGTCAGGATTGCTGAAGGAACTCAGGGCTTATGAGGCTCACCTGAGGAGAATATCGCACGTATCCAGTCTGTGGACTGGAATGGCGAGCAAGCGAAAACACCTTAGCGGGTCCAGTACTAGCTGGTTGAAGCGAGTACACAAGAGGACACAGGCTCCACTCTGAGATTATAGAATCTGGCGAATGTGTTGGGTGTTGCCCAGCCTGCAGCTCTACAGATGTCTGTTAGCAAGGCGCCATGCGCTTGTAAAATTACCCCCCCTTAACAATTTAATTTGCCCCCTCAGTCATTTCATCCTATAGTCGGGCCTGTGACCATGGCAACCATTGTGTAATTTAATTTTCTCTTGTTGTTCATTTCATCCTTTATCCTCATTCACAAATGTTCAAAGACAGAGGCAAAAGGCTTTTCCTTATTTTTTTTTTCTATTAAAACTTTCAGTCTTCATTCTTTGATGGTAAGAAGGAATTATGGTGTAATTATGGATTATGCCAAACAGTGCATCATTTGAATAAGTATGTTAATGAAAAAGCATGAATCAGTTATTATGACTTGCTATGTTGAGATTAAAACAGAATGATGGTAAATACAATAATGACCTGAAACGCTGAAGAGTGTGAAATAAGTGTAAGCGTAGTCTTAGATGTGTGTTTGTGTGTGTGATACATGCAGAGAGTCTAACACCTCCCCCACACACATTATATGCTGTTTTATTGCGTGGCTCACCATATACTGTACACAGCTGATGTCTTTGAATTCTTTCCCCCCTTGTTCATTAGAAAATCAGACTCAATGCAGCATGCTTCTTTTCCTTCATGGACATTTCTGATAGAAGTGTAAAGCTGACATTTGTAGTCTTTGACAACAGAAAAATGAGTTTATAAAATTAGAGAAATGTTGTCCCACGTATTTAAGGTATTTATTAGCACAGTTCAGGAGTTTGAGAAGGGTTTCAGACATTTGTGTTGGCTTGTTAGCTTGAGATATGCCGCAGTATTTAACTTTCTATTGATTAAAATATATTCACCACCACCCACTTAAAAGAGTTTGTTGAAGCTAGGGTGTGTGTGAACAGAAGGTCCTCATGTTAAAAGAAAATGAGTGAGGATCACACCCGCATTTGAATGTGTCAGTCAAAGCTCAAGCCTTTTATCATCTTTCAGAACTCATTATTTAGATTGAGATCAGAGCCCACTGTCAATGTGGAAGATTACTAGGAAAGAAAGAGAAATTGCTCTAGATACACTGACAGCTTAAACACAGTACAAGGTAGATCAGTGATATTGTTTTTTTTTAATGATTTTTTTTTTTAAAGCGTGAAGTGAGAGGTATTGTGGTGTGTTAAAAGTTTTTGAGGAGAGAGAATGAGATATTTGCCTTGACACTTGTTTAATGAAGAGAATATCTCATTTTACTAAATGAAAAGAGAAAACCGTGCTACTGCAGTAAGATGTGATTGCACTGAGTTTGTCACTGATTATTGAATACAAATAAATGAGGGAGTCTTGTAAAAATAGAGTATAGAGTTCAGAGTTTGTGAACTTTCTGGAATTATCGTTAGTTATCCAAGCTGATGAAATTGATATAGAGGATTAGATTTGTGTTACATTTCAATTCCTGATAGAGCTTTGCTAACTAAAGCCTGATGCGCTCTTACCACAATTTGAGAGGATAAAATGTCTGATTTCTGAGACTTTTTTCAGGAATCATAAAATATGTATTTTGCCATAGGACAAATCTGCAGTCCTGGATAAGATGGATCGCATTGTCATTGATCGAAATATTGGGTTCCAGAATTCTCTATTACGATAAGAGCCATAATAATTACCTTCAGTACTTTTTTTTTTTACTTTTAAATATTAGCATAAAGGTTTGTTTAAGTATAAGGGTTTGCCTAAGTATAGCTTAGATGTACATCATATATCAATATTGTGTATTTGTATTTATTTATTTATATAAAGCACCTTCCAGGCTACACAGTAGCTCCAAAGTACTGTAAATAAATAATAATAATAATAATAATAATAAATAGATAAAAAATAAAAACCACAACATCCATTAAAAGATTGAATTAAAACGCAAGAGAAAGAGACTTTAGAGGAAACCTAAAAATATTTGAAGTCCCTGTAAAGTTAAAATTAAGTATTTGTTCTGAGTTTGTCGCACCACAGAAAAATGGGTTGTTAGCCACCTAGCCAAATTTGAATGATAAAAAAACAACCGCCAAGTAAATAAAATAAGCAATCAAAATCTTGACAAAATGAGCAATATTCTATGCTTTCAAACACTGGGGGCGTGTCTGCTGGCTGTGCTGAAACCACACCCACTCGAGGGAAAGCAGCCGACGGTGATATTAGCTGATACTTTCGGCCTTAGGATGAAGGCCGAGGCGGGAGATAGTCAGTTCAGCCCCATTTACCAGTAACAGCGGATTATCAGTGAATCCCAGTTGTCTCTGACGAAAGTTTATAAAACGATCTCGTGTAACAATTATCACTACAGAGGCGGTGGTCCTTAGCTCTCCATCAAGGTATCTCTTCACAAAATTATTCCACCTCTTCTTGGTGTGATCGTTTTTCAGAACGCATTTCCGTGACGAAGGAGAATACACATGATTTAGAGAATACACACATGACCCAGGGGGATGCATATGGAGAACAATGGGGTGTCCAGCCACAGATGGAATATTTGAACCCCAGGGGTGGCAAGGTGACTTGCCAAGGGAAAGACACATGCTCAAAGAGGCTTACAGTAGAAATACACTTGTGGGGGTCGCTTAGGGGAGGGGCCATGCACATGGGAGCCGACGCGCAGGAAATAGACACTGGCGTCAGGAGTGCTGGAGGAACTCAGGGCTTTCGGGAAGCTCATCTGAGGAAAATATTGCACGTATCCAGTCCGTAGAGTGGAACAGCGAGCAAGCAAAGACCTGAGCTACTGGGTCAATAAAATTGACAACACAGAACACTTTACAGTCTTATTTCTGGTCAAACTTATAATAATTTAGCAGTTTTACATTAACTCATACTGCAACACTTCAGCTAAATTAAGTTGAAGGCTTTGACTTGCCAGTTCTTCTATTTCAACTTTAAAATCCCACTTGAATAGGATATCTTTTTGTGTGGCATGACCAATGTTCCCTTATTTTTTATTTTATTTTTTTTTTTCTTGCTGAGCAAAACTTTTTTCTATTGGGCAGATATTTTTCACCACCTGAGAAAAAATATTCTTTATACCTGACCTGTGCAGCATACGTAGAAACACAATGGTTTCCCCCTTGATGTAACTTATTGGTATTAAATCATAATTTTGAAAAACAAACAGTTAATTAAGGAGTCACTAAATGAAGCATTTTGGGTTACTTGATATTTTTTTGTTTTACAGTGCTGTTAACTGGACAGTCTTTACCAAGAAATACTTTGAAAAATAATTTACAAAATCTTCAATTCTTTACAATATAGTATGAAAGAAAAGTAAGCTGTTACACTGAGATGGTTTGGGAAAACATAAAGTGTTTTTGTAATGTCAATTAATTGTGTACAGGAGGCATTAAACCACCAAAGTTAAATGTTTATTGCTTGATTATTGCTTATGAATTTCCTATATTTTCTTTAGCAGGGGGTTTGAAACTTTTTAATGGCAGTGAGCCCGAAACAATACCCTTGTGAAAAAAAAAAAAACATCCATTTAAACTAATGATGTATTTTTAATTTGCACACGGGTGGATGTGTAATTGTTTCCGTTCTTTGTCCATCAACCATTATTTCCACCACTTTAATCAAACCACTCCTCTTTAAAACATTATGATGTGATTTTATTTCACTTGTCTTTGCATTTCTCGTTGCCTCATGTATTGAGCTATTTGGTCCGCACACAAGACTTACTTCTAATCACACATGCTCACATCATTCTGTTTCTATGACAGCTGTAAACTGCATTCACCATTTTTCTCACTATAGTGGTTAACCAAAGCTCTGCAATTATTTCTCCCTTAAACTACAATCAAATGGAGCGATACATTTTGCGTCAGTCCTCTGCATGGCATTTTATTCTTTTCTGCACGGCCGTAGCATCAGAAGAGTGTGACCGCGCACATGCGCAGCTTATAGGGAACATAGGGCATGTCCATAGACGGTAAAAAATGACCTACTTTCTGTAAAGCAGAAGCCCATGGATAGACACATTGACATTTTCATGTTAAATATTACTAAAGTCCATAATACATTTAATGACCATAAGTCTGGGTGCTCAGGTTGCAACAAAAAAACAACAACTGATATTTCTACCAAAATGTCATTGTTCAAATTAAGTATGTGGTTCCTTTCTTTAATATCCTTCCATTTACACCTGTATTCACTGTTCTTTATAAGATGAATTCATGAACATCAGCCAATTTAGAAGTTGCATACAGAATTTTAGATGTTTTTTTAATTGCATTTAATTGTCCACTCCGTTTGGACATTATATACAGGCCAGAATAATACATTTAAGTAATGACATAGTGACATTTACAAGTGTGTGATTCCTATTATGAATGTAAATGTTTCAATTTACAGTTAATGTTCTAATTTGAAATGACAAATTAAAACTTTTCAATGCAAAATAAAATGTTTAATTAAAATACACTCTTGTCTTCAACCTCAACCTATTCTTACTACTACCTCAAATTTAGGCAAAATGAATGCAAGAAAGGATATCATTTTAATGAGTTCACCACCTTCTTCTCACATTCACAAAATGCAAACTTACTTTAAATAGAATAAATGCACATGCTGAATGCTAATCTCTGAAAAAACACAGATTTATAAATCAGGTTGCAGGCATATTAAGAAAATAAGAATCACTAATTAGAATATGAATTTTTGAATTATGTATGAAATTGCTGTTACAACAGAAAACTAATCCAAAATGATTCGTCCTTGAAACGATCCCCTAAGCTGTTGAGTTAGGCTGGTCATGCTCGTTTAGTTTTCAAATATAATTAAACAGATCTTCGAGTGCACACAGACGCCAACAAATAATCTGCATACTCTTACATATGCATTAACACATGCTCAATCCCTGCGTACATAATCAAATGCTTGTAAATCTAACTTTGCTATTTCTGAAACTTTTATCCTATGATTTTTCCATCTCCATTAGATCATACCTAAAGACAATGAGACGAGGTCCACACTGATGTACAAATACATCATCCATGAAGATTCTGTGCCCCTTAACAACAATAATGTCATTCAGGAGGACACATATGAATGGGCGCTTAAAAGCTGGTCCACATGTTCAAGACCTTGTGCTGGAGGTAATGTTCCATTAGTATGATCTTTCAGTTTATTTAGGGTACTCAAATACCCTCACTTAAAGGATTATTAGGAACACCATACTAATACTGTATTTGACCCCATTTTGCCTTCAGAACTGCCTTAATTCTACGTGGCACTGATTCAACAAAGTGCTGAAAGCAAAATTTTTAAATGTTGGCCCATTTTGATAGGATAGCATCTTGCAGTTGATGGAGATTTTTGGGATGCACATCCAGGGCACCTTCCACCACATCCCAAAGATGCTCTATTGGGTTGAGATCTGGTGACTGTCGGGGCCATTTTACTACAGTCAACTCATAGTCATGTTCAAGAAACCAATTTGAAATGATCTTTAAAGAGCTTTATGACATGGTGCATTATCCTGCTGGAAGTAGCCATCAGAGGATGGGTACATGGTGGACATTAAGGGATGGACATGGTCAGTAACAATGCTCAGGTAGGCCGTGGCATTTAAACGATGCCCAATTGGCACTAAGGGGCCTAAAGTGTGCCAAGAAAAGATCCCCCACACCATTACACCACCACCACCAGCCTGTGGTAACAAGGCATGAATGATTCATGTTCTCATTCTGTTTACGCCAAATTTTGTCTCTACCATCTGAATGTCTCAACAGAAATGTGGTTGTGCGTGTTGTGGCTTCACAAATGCTTTGCTGTTTACCTCAGTTGTAACGAGTGGTTATTTCAGTCAAAGTTGCTCTTCTATCAGCTTGAATCAGTCGGCCCATTCTCCTCTGACCTCTAGCCTCAAAAAGGCATTTTCGCTCACAGGATTCCCACATACTGCCTTTTCACACCATTCTATGTAAACCCTAGAAATGGTTGTGCGTGAAAATCCCAGTAACGGAGCAGATTGTGAAATACCCAGACCGGCCCGTCTGGTACCAACAACCACGCCACTTTTAAAATTGCTTAAATCACCGTTCTTTCCCATTCTGACATTCAGTTTGGAGTTCAGGAGATCAATCAGGACCACACCCCTAAATGCATTAAAGCAACTGCCATGTGATTGGTTGATTAGATAATTGCATTGATGAGAAATTGAACAGGTGTTCCTAATAATCCTTTTGGTGAGTGTATAATTCCTGGTGCTATAGTCTGCCTTTTTCGACAGTCATTTTCACATTTGTTAATATGCACTTTTTTTTTTGGTAAGCCTTTGAGACACAAATCCTATGGTTGTTTTGTTGTCATCAACATTGGATATGTTAAACTATTATCAAATATTAAATTAACCTTATAATTTAAAAAAGTAGCTAGTTTTAATCACATCAAATGTATATGTATATGAGATCACCCTTAAAATGTTCATCCTGTCCCACATCAGAAGTTTTGACCTTCTCGACTGTATCCAATAATTAAAATCATAATTTTGACATAACCTATGGATTTATATAATAATTCATTTAAAATACTATTAATAATTTGTTTTTGATTTAATTTGGCCAGACCAGACCAGGCCAGATTTTTCAAAAGTTGTTGAAGACTGGTTCACTTAATTGCACGTCATGCTTCTTTGCGTTCTTTCATTTTTTTTTTTTCATTCTTCAGGATTCCAATACACCAAATATGGGTGTCGTAAAAAAGGTGACAACAAAATGGTGCACAGAGGCTACTGTGACATCAACAAGAAACCCAAACCTATTCGCAGAATGTGTAACTTACAAGACTGCACTCAACCACAGTAAGTAAATTTTGGAAAAATGTACCCTTCTCACAATAACTGTTGTCCCTTTACCTCAACTGAAAGCTAGAATTGCATTTCATGGTACAGTATGTGATTTTCATGGCATTTAGTTCAATTTAAACTACACTAAATAATGTATAAGCACTCATGCTTCCCCTGTCAAGCTTGGGGAGCTCAGAGGTGGGTTTTGATATCATGGGGATGTCTTGCTTTATATATTTCTCTTGTTAAAGGCTATGAAAAAATCCCAGAGTGAGATTGTGCATGCATGTTTCATATCTGGGAATAGACTCCCTCAGGCTGTAGCCTGTAGTTTTTACTGAATGTGTAGCCTTGGCTAATTTTCAACTGATAATGAAGATATGAAGAGTTAAGATGCAAAAGCCTCTAAATGCCATTTGAAATTTTCTTCTTTAATGATGATTTTTATCAAACTTGTATATTTAAGTTCAGTGATTTCACTTAAAGTGATTTAACATAAATGAGTGACCGCATGCCCGAGGTAAGTATTTTGCACATAAAACCGCCGTCCATATAAGAGCTTTCCACACACCCTTTCCTTTCGTCACTCTCAGTAAACATGACTCTACCTAAAGACCAGGGCCCGGTTCCCCAATAACGCTAACTCTTAAAATGTCCATACTATAAAACACATTGTTGAGCCACAACATTGTCAACATACCACAGTTTGACTTGTACCGGTACTGCGCTTCACTGATTTCTCAACATGACATCATGACTTTTGGATAAACATACATGCCACTTTCAAGTCAAGTGGGGTGTTATCTATACGCATTTTGAGCTATGTGCGTGAATGCGTGTATGTCTACACCGTTAAATGTCCGAGTGAAATGAAGCAAAATGTAGCTCCCTAGGATACAGGGGAAGACTCGTAATTGCTATTAACCCCAGTGACAGGGAGGTTTAGGGACGGGGTTGGGGTAGGTCATGTATTTATATATACAGTAATGTAACATTAAGTCAATCGCGTTCATAAACATGCTGAAAAGCGATTATGCATGTTGATAGCACACCAAAAATGGAAATACGAATTTGCATGTCATACACATGCCATTTCATGAGATCAGTCTGGATTTCTGCTGCACAGTGGCGACGACTAGCGTCTTGAGCTCAAACAATGCTAAAACAGAGCTTACGAATGGTCCAAACCAACCTTACAAAAGTAGATAAACTTACACTCTAAAAAATGCTGGGTTGTTTTAACCCAACTTTGGGTCAAATATGGACTAACCCAGCCGTTGGGTTAAATTTTTACATTACATTTTTAACCCAACATTTCGGGTTTGTCCATATTTGACCCAAAATTGGGTTAAAACAACCCAGCATTTTTTAAAATGTAGTGTCAGGAATTATGCCATATAAGAGAGGTGATCAATCAAGAGAGAGGTTAAGGAATAGGTAAAGAACTACTTAGCGATAAGGACGTTATGGGTAACCGGGCCCTGATCCTCAAGCAAGTGTTCCATCCTCAAAATAATTTTTACAGAACCAGATTACAGACCTATTTATGAAGAAAAACCTCTCAGCTCAAGCTTTAACAGAGTTATAATCATGAGTTCCTTTGATAAACTAGCAGCAAATTGACTAGGATTGTAGCCCTCCACAGAATAAGAACGCTTTTAATGGGATTATAATTTTAGCCCCTAACATGTGATAATTGATAAAATCTCCCACCTCACATTTTACACTTCCTGCTGAGAGGAAAGCCATATAATTGTAATTCGGCCTTAGACTTTCTCAAAGATTATCCTCCTAATGTGGCACAGGAAAGAAAACTAATTGCTGATTGAGACATGTGATTCATTTAGATATCTTAATACTTTTAAAATTGAATGCAGTCAGGCAAGATAAGGCAAGGGAAGTTTATTTATATAGTAAATTTCATACACAATAGTAATTCAAAGGGCTTTACATAGAAGAAATTAAAATAATCAAAAGAAATAAGAATAATTAAAAAGTAAAATTTAAAGAAAAAAGTAAAATACAGTACAAACAGTCGACACACAGTGGCACAGTACTCATTCAGTAAATACACAGCTAAACAGATGTGTTTTGAGTCTTGACTATATTGTAAGATCACATCTGATCTCTTCTAGAGGCTGGTTCCAGCTGTGGCTGGCATAAAAGCTAAAAGCAGACTCTCCGTGCTTAGAGTGAATACTTGGTATTTCTAGCTGATGCGATCCTAATGATCTGAGTGATCTGTTGGGTTAAATTCAGTGAGCATAATCTGCAATGTATTGAGGTCCTAGGCCATTGAATGATGTATGTAATAATTACATTTAAACCATTACAGTAAACCATTAAAATTATCCACCCTTCTGGTGATGAAATCATTCACAAGTTTCTCTAAGTCTTGCCTTGAAATAAAGCATCTAATCCTTGCAATATTGTTATGTTAGTATGCTGATTTAGTTGTTGCTTTGGCATGACTACTGAAACCAAGATTCCTGACTTGATTTTTAGTTGTTTCACTCCTAGAGTGACGGTATGCTTTCACCTTGAACTTCATCTTTGTTTCCAAACGCAATGACTTCAGTTTTGTCTTTGTTTAAGTGAAGAAAGATTTGGCACACCCAACTGTTGACTTCATCAATGCATTGGCACATGGAGTCAATGGGGCTGTAATTGTTAAGCAATAGTAGATCTGTGTGTCATTAGCTGTGGTAAGCGACTTTGGGAGCATATACATGTTGAACAGGAGTGGCACAAGAATTGCAGAGTGAACTCTGCAAGTTGTACAGCCATAGATGAAGGCTGACTGGCCGCTTCATAAGCCAATGAAATAGCCTCGACTATCAATTTGCTCATCACCTGTTTAGATGCAGGGCACCCTCTATTGAATGACCCAAAGCAGACAAATAATTGTTCAGACTTGCGCCACAGGGCAGCTCTCTGAACGTAGGCATCTAATGCCCGAACTGGACATCACAGGTTCAGTTGTTCCTGATCTAGGGTATTAAAAAGGTGGAGGATAAAAGGCCTGCAGCACTATTGGGCCCCCAACATTAACTGGGACCTTAGGAATATAACCTGGTCTAGGGTAGATAAATGCCTTCACCAAACCAGGTGCAAATTCCAGAAATGAAGGAGCAACCGACAGGGCATGCAAATCTCCAATTCTCTTGATAGACGTAATAGCAAGGAGAATTAAAGTTTTTAGAGTGAGGAATTTCTCTGAAACCTCTTCAATGGGCTCGAAGGGATCCAAAGCCAGACCCTCAGGTACAATGGCCAAATCCCAAGCCGGTGCTCTAGAGTGCAGCGAAGGTCTCAACCTTAGTGTACCATGGAGAAAACGAGTAATAAGAGGATCTCTCCCGATAGAAGTACCCCTCAGAGAGGTGTGGTAGGCAGATATAGCCGCCACGTAAACCTTTAGGGTGGAGGGAGAGAACCTAGCAGAGAAACGGTCTTGCAAGGAATCAAGAACTGAACCAACAGGGCAGTTAAATGGATAGTTCACTTTGAAATTAATTTTTGATATGTTTTATCTTACTTCAAGGGCATCCAAGATGTAGGTGTCTTTGTTTCCACAGTATTTTCAATTTTGATATTTTTTGGTCAAACCGTTGTTGTCTCTCAGTCATTTAATTCAGGAATAGGGGGTCCACCTCAAAGAGCATGCACAGAGAAGTCAAAATTATACATGATTTAATGACTCATAAATGTAAGTACACATTGATGGCCCAAGACACGAAACGAGCGGTTTGTGTGAGAAAACGAACAGTATTTACATTGTTTTTACCTCGTGTAACCACAGCCATGTCCAACTGATCTGAAGGCACGGGCGCTTCGGTCTGCGCATGCGGCGGAAGTGATCACTTGCACGTTTACATCACTCATTGTTTACACATGTTCTTAGCTGGTGCCTACTCGCGAACCAGTTCTTTGTGTTTCGACAGCCAAAGAACCGATTCTCGGCCAGGAGAACTGGTTCCAAAGTGGCACCAACTCTTTGCTGGACTAGAACCGTTCTTTTACCTCGTCATGCTTACGTCGGGGGCTGGGGGCAGGGTTATTGTGACCAACAACACGACGGGAAAGGTTGTGACCGCCATTGCTAAAAACACAGCGCTAGTAAAGATACTGGTAGTAACGATTGAAGAATGGATTCTAAAGCGAAACAGTGGTCGGTGGAGGTGAGAAACTGTTTGTTAGCGATATGGTCTTCGGCAGAGGTTCTCGAATTTTTTGTACAGCAAAAAATAGAAGGTGCTTCGAGAACAAAGCATCTGTTCGAGGAGATCCAGAGGGAGATGGCTGCAGCAGGATTTAACAGAACGATAGAACAGATAAATAACAAGTTAAAAAAAAAACTAAAAAAGGATTACAGGAACCAAAAGAAGGAATTGGGCCGAAGTGGTAATGGACGACCACACAGTAGAAATAACCATTTTGAGGTTTTGGACTCGGCCCTCGGCGACAGACGGCATGCCAGGTCACCGGGGCATTAAATTCAACAGCTGTCTGGAGAGTCTATGGTCCTTTTGGAAGAAGAACCAAACTGAACTATTCAGTTACTTGTTTCTCTACACTCAGTATGGCCTGTTGAGGAGCACTAGATTCATGCGACTCAACTGCTGTATGCTGAGGGCATCCATGACGAAGCTCTGTTGTGTGTTCTGTCTGGTTTGGTGGTCCCTCAAGTATCTTTGTTTCAAGAAACTGCAATAAGAATCTGTGGCAGTTTGTGCAGCAAATAGATTCTTGAACCAGAAGAGGCATTTTCTCTCTTATCCTTTTGAATCTAGGCAGTTGTGTTTTCCCTTCCCCGGAATGTAAGCTGATGGCTTTCAGTGGGAGGCTGGTCGATTAAAAGAATTCTGCTTTTTTTGTAGTAATCCAAGCTTTGTTGTTTGAGCACTATGCTAAATTTGCTGAAGTAAAAATTAGGTGATAAAAAGAGATAAAATATAAAAATATAAAAGCGACAAAGCAAAGCGCGGAGCAGTAAGCAAGAGCAACAGTAGCTG